TTTTCACCACTGATCACCAGATGTTTACTCAAAACAATGTGGAAAACTTCCACAGCAGCGCCTGAAAACTGCACTCTGCTCCCTGGTTGATTCCAGGTAACATTCCATGCAATACATGAGTGCCTCTGCTGCCATAAAGTGATTGTCCCCATCTGGTTTGATTGTCATCTGGTGATTGTCCCCAGGTAACTTCATGGTATCTATCTTTCCAAGCATCGTCATTCAGTAGCTGCCATCATCTCTCCTTTGAGGAGTGCACATATCTGAGGCAGACAGTGAGAACTCTGAAGAAACAAGTAGCTCTCTAAATCCATCCTCATATACTACCAGAAAGAAGATATCCTTCTTGCTTTAGTTATTTGAGAGAATGCAGGAAAGAAGAAAAGGTTCTCTGTTTTAAAGAAAATTTTTAGACATTTTTCTTAAGTAAATTTTAAACAAAGTTGTATAATTACCAGTTTTAAGTATCATTTTAGAATTAATATAAACTGAAAAAAATGTGAAAACTAAACAGAGGAAAAATAATTTGTTTCCTTCTTGATTTGTGTTTCCAAAATACCTCAATGAAAACTGAAATTAAGAAAATCATTCTCTTATGTTATTTTCATGAAAAATATTACATGAAAGGCAAAAATATTCTTCAATTTAGCTACCTTATCTATTTTGGAAACATATTAAAAAAAAAAAATCCACAAATAACAAATTTTTTCAAAAAAGCTTGTTGCAGAGACTAGAACTTCTAAATGTAAAATGTAAAACAGTTCTAAAGATGTTGAGTGTTTTGTAACCCTAGCTATATGCAGACACTATGTTTTCATGAAACTATGCAATATTTTCCACCAACTAAACTATCAAAATAAAAAATTAAGAAAGCAGTGAGTATATAATTCTACTTTTCCTGGATTTCACGTAGATTACCTGTTTTCCTCTATAAACAGAGGCAACAGAATTTAAAACTATCCTGTTTTCATCTATCCCAAATGAAAAGTGTAAGTGCTTACAGGGTCTACCTGCCTACAGGAGCAACAATTTTGGAGTGTGTGCCTGGGCAGCTCTGTAACTGTAGCACCCTCTGCTGCTTTTTTAGTTTCAAAACATATAATTGTACACTCACACAAGTACAAAATAAAATGAGTATGTGTTGAACACGTTGTTTCTTGAAAATGAAATTATTAACTATTGCTATGTGCAATTACAAGAAACTGTTTTTCTATTATGTATAGTATATTTTCAATTTTATACTACTTGAGCATTCTGGAATATCTTGTTTCTGTGATAACATCAGACAAAAATATACTAGATGAACATTCAAAAATATGCTGTATTTCACTTATTAAAATTCTCCTTTACACAGCCTGTAGCTTGCTTAGACTGGGGGCAAATAGTAAAGAGGTTTCTATTTTGGCCCTGATCATTTCACTTAATGTTTACAAAATCTGCAATGATTACTTCTGGGATAGAGTCATAAGGACTTCAGTTATAACTGCCTTCTCCCACTTGGAAAGGCAAGGGAAGGAGACACTCTCAAATGCTCATCCTTGGAGAATGTTCCTTCATTTCTGGACAATTTCTTCTGCCAGGATGAGAGTGGCATGTGGTTCCAGGGGCCAGCTGATGGTATCCCATAATGCCACCACCGAACCTTCTGCCTGAGATCCATCAGTTCTTTTAAAGGACTGTCTCAGGACTAGAGATGGTGTCAGGTTGTACCCTCTTTTTAACAGATGGCATATTGTTGTCTAAAACGAACAGACTGATCCTTTCCTTCATTCCAGTCCTCTTTTCCCTGCCTCCTGTTTATGCATAGAATTAAAGCTGAAGGAAGTCCATTTAGCACTGCATCCTGTCTGTGTGGAGAATTAATTTAGAGTTTTCATGTGGAAACCACTCTTCCACAAAGGATGAGCAGAGAGAAAAAATTTTCCACATTTTTCTGAGAAAGTGAAAACCCACTGCAACTTGTAATGTGAATTTTCATTCACAATGGCAATCCTACAGCGCAAATGCATCTTCAGAAATCTTTTTTAAAAAGACAGAATACAAGTGTAGGTATACAAATACAAAATTTGAACGAGCCATTGTGCAGAGGCAATTTTCAAAGTTAACAACTGGGACCCTGCAATACACCACGGACAGCTACTGCAGCTGGCTCCCCTTTTATCCAGAAGTCTTTCTGGTGTAAGGCAGCATTTTTGGAAGCAATCACAAGTACACCTCAAAAGCTGCTTATTGATATTTTATATAATGCTGCCAGCTAGTGGCACATCTTGTACTGAGTTGATACCTACTGGGAGTACAGAGACAGTGGTAGTAACTGGTGTCTGCTCTACCACTTTTCTTTTGATGGTATACAGTGATGCGGCTGGCAAAGACCATAAGCACAGAGGTCAGCATGGGAACCAGAAAGACCATAGAAACCCTCCCTGAAAGAGCTTGTTTTAACAGAAAGTACTTACTGGAAGAAACAAAAAAACTCCCCCCAAACTACAAAATCCATGTTATTTGAAACAAATTATTGTGTTTAAAAACAAAATGAAGTTTTTACAAAAGCTAATCTGTTTCATACAAAATTATTTCATAATCTATTAACTTTTAGAAAAAACATTAATCTTGCTGATAAATATTCAGTATGGCAACCAAAACAAACACCCAGAAAACTAAAAAATGTCCTTGTTTTGTGGTAACTCAGTCCAAGTCATTAAAACTTAAACTTCATTTAAGTCAAGGTTAGTGGCCAGTAAATAAATGCTAGCTATGCAGTGTACCCCAAAAGAACACTGAAGTCTCTAATTATTCAGTGCATCTCCCTCACAGAGCATACTGCTGTGACAGCACATTGATTTCTGGCTAGCTCCACCAGTATTAGATATTAAGAGAAAAAACCTGATACTGTCAAAGACCATTTCAGAAATATCTGAGGGTTTTTTGAGTACACTATGATTTGATAATAAAACGTTCTTGTAGAACACTACAGAAATTACAAAAAACAGTCAACCTAATTTTAGAAAGATAACAGTTGTTACCTCTGGGGGTAAAAGGAGGCAACACAACACCTTCATCATTTCCACAGTGGGTTAACACAAAGAGTAAAGAAATACACAGGAAAAGATCAAAAAAAGACCCAATTTGAATTAAGGGATAATGGGAGTACACAGAAATTCCATCAACTGATGGACCCAAATAGAGCAGCTCACTGAACACATGACTGGGAGAACTTCACTATGATGGTGTGACAGGCACATAGTTATTCTGCCTTGGATACTGAGGACATCTATTCCATACAGGTGGTGGCAAAAAAAGTGTGATTATTACACTCCAAGCCAGTACTGCATGCTGCCAGAAGATAATAATTTTACAGTTATGCTAATAGAGTGTAATCTAGAGTGCATAGTAAAACTGGCATAAATCAGCAATATGTAGATCCATACAGACAGACACTTACAGACAAAGACATTTAAAAATAGTGAAGCAGTGAATCTGGAAACGACTTGGCAAACGCTATAGATAATAGCATGGCATGAACCTCAAAGCAATTCTGCATCCAAAAGGACAAATGTGAATCTTTATATAAACAGAGAAACAGTGAGAACCACAAATGTCATATTACTCCCGTGTTAGCACCGGTGGTGTGCCTATTAGAGTGTAAGTCTCATTCTACCATATGCAATCAATAAAAAAGTAGCTGAAATACTGGAAGAAGAGCTGACAACACATCTATCAATAGGAAAGCATATGAGAACTTTAGCAGAATAAATTCTTTGTGTTAACAAGGAAATCTGTGTTGATTGAGCACAAACTCAGTACCCACACAAAGAACAAGAAATCGTGTTATCATATTATACTGCCTTGATTCTTTACCTGAAGCACTTTTAGACACACACACAGAGAAAGTACTTTCTCTGCTGTTCAAAATAAATGTTTAAGCTGTTATATAATGAACTAATGTTTATTGAAACACAGCTTTGGAATACTAAGACTGGAATTTTGAGATAAAACATATATATCAAAACAGTTTCTATATCACTGGCTTGATAAGGAGGGGGAAATATGTGTATATTTCTTGAATATCTGGCAACTTTGCCAACTTTATTCTATCAGTTTCCTTCTTTGAAAACAAACAAACTAACCTGAAAGATAAGGCAGAATAACCAAACAACAATAATATGTTATCTCTAAATGTTAATTATATAATAGCAATTACTCATCACATCAGAAATGTTTCACTGTTGGCTCAGCTTTGTTTCCACCACCTACCACAATTTGATAATTCAAGTCCATTAATAGCATAGATAATTTTATTAATAAGTATACTGAAGCAGAGCCATACTGGGTCAGACATTGATGGCCCACTTAGAGCTCATCTTGCCTCAGGTTAATGCAGCCAGTAACTGATGCTTAGACAAGAGTGAAAGATCAGGACAAACATATCATCCTACTGCCCCATTAAATCTCATAACACTCAGCACTTCCTAAGCCATAAGTGATGTCTGTATATTTAATAGTCACAGTAAATTTTTCTTGCACAATTTTTTCCCCTTTTTTGAATTTATTTCATGTTTTAGTATCCAAAATAATCTATAGGGAGGAATTTCACAACTTGACTGTTTTCTTTTGTGTTTCTCTGGTTCAAGTTTGTTCTCTCCAAGCTAGAAGTACTCCTGATTGCTTCCCATGTTCCTGCAGTGCAGTTCCTCACACAGCCACTGCTGGCCCCTGACCAACAGAAATCAACGGGCTAAACTAATGTTTTATCCACTCCAGTCCAGTTGCTCTAATGTTCCCACCATAGCCACAACCAAAAATAACCTGCAGTGGGAGAACCTAAGGGTGTATCCAACACAAACAATGGTGCTACATAAAACTGTAATGCTATGGTAACCCTGACCACAGTAATGGAGTTTCCCAGCTAAATGAAATAGTTATTGAGGGCTCATACAGAAATGTTTCATATTGGTTAGACTTATAAACATAGTACTGTACTTAAATAAACAGTGACTTACAGACATTCCCCGTGTTGTCAAAACTTGTAAGAACGTCTTTAACATTTAAGAGGCCATTGTGAAACCTGGAAGAAAATTAAAAAAGTGACTTTACTGATACATAAACCATCAAAAAAACTCCATCTTCAAAAAAGAGATTTACTGTATGCATTCATTTCTCACCACCCCCTTTCACAGTGAAGCAGCAAATAGATACTACTGTAGCCACCAGGGGGAAAACAAGGGTACAATCGCCAGTCTTCAAAGTCCCAGCACTGAAATCCAAATCCATGAATCAGGAGCAATGTGTTTCTCAGAAACTACTATCAGGAGGAAAACATTACCAAGGAGCATCAATTTTTATTTAGTTGTGGAAGTTACATAGAGGAAAGGAGGAACTTTGGTAAATCAATTTCTTTGGAATCAATTTCTTTGAAAGGGAAAATACATAAAGTATTTTTGAACAGCAGCTGTACACACATTCCTATTTTCTCCCACAAAATCAAGAACACTTAATTAAGTTAATGCAAATTGATGTGTTCACTGAACTACATTTTTTTTGGTTTTACATTTGCATAACCCATGTGAAATAAACATTCAAAAGTGGGGATAATTAATTACCTAAATTTCATACACCATGTGCAAATTTTAGAATGCAGTGAGCAAGACACTGACAGCAGCAGAAAGAATTAGCACCAAAACTGAAAAAAAATTTACCTAAGATTTGCCTCCAAATGTGCAGTGGTACACACATAAAAAAGCATCTAATCTTCTTTTAAATATTCCAAACTAATCTAAGCCCAAAATGAACAAAATATTAGTCTCACACTTGACAACATTCAGATCACACAGCTGTTTCACAAATGCATTAAAGAAAATCTAGAAGGCATTCAGAAAGGCAGCAAAATATGAAAATATAGGGTTTTAATAATGTTTCAAATATAGCTTCTAAGGCTGTTTGGGAACACACTAATTTGAAATACTAAAAAAAAAAATGCAATAAATCCAAGAATTTTTGCACCTACAAAATTAGTTCTCACTCTCTCAGCTGTTCTTTCCTGAAAAAAGACTGCTGTGAGAATGGAAAAAAAATCAATCATTTTGCATACATAAAATTGCATATTTATTGTGAAAAACCCACTATTTATAGCTTCTGATAAGCATAAGCATTAAATAAAGAAACACTAACAAGTTATATTCTGAGAAGCACCTAGAAACAGCAACTAGACTAATTCTTAAAAATGAAAATCAAATGGAAATCAAATTAACAAACTGAACTGAGCTCATCAGAAGCCACAAAGAAATATATGAGAGATGTTACAAAAGATTCAACTGGACATGAGCGCTCTTCTCCCCGGAACATACAACCAAACCAAAATTACATGCCTTCTCTGCAGAGGAAATCTACAAGAATGCTGATGGGTCACATGGATTTTTAATGTACTTCTTCTCCATCAAATTGGACAAACAATGCAACAGAGCTGGTGCAAGGGAAGTAACAAGAAAGGAGATAGGTTTGGTAGTTCTGCCAGCCACAGAGCTGCCCTTTAAACTCTCCCCCGCTGACTCCTCAGAACCCTATAAACTCTGCAACTCTGCATATGTCTGGGGATGTTGGGGGCTCTCACACAGCTGAATGTCTCATCTCTAAATGAATGCAAATGGAGGGTGGGAGATGCTGAGGAAGTAAAGAAATATTTTAATCTCTGTTGGCATGCAGGGCAGTCTTGGGATAACATGTTTTGGTTTCTTTTTTCCCCCCGCTCAGTTTCTTTATGTACATGATAGTTCATATCTAAAGGAGATTTATCATGTAACTCCCCAAGTGAAACAAAGGTAAGGATAAAAATTTAGTAGTCTAATACCACTAATTCAACAGAATGAAGAAAGAAAAACAGAAGTGAAGTGTCCTGGTCTAGAAAAGAATACAATTTTTATATACTTCAGGGTCAAAAGGTAGGCAAACATGAAAAGGAGAAATAATAAAACCACAGCAAGAGCCAAAACTGCTTAAAATTTGTGAAATCAAAAAACTGAGGAATTGAGCATAATCTCCTCCTGCAGACAAGTTTTAGGACTGAGGAAATCAACATGCCAATAGCTGATCTACTTGTGAAAGGGAAAACTCAGGAAAACACACTTCCAAACAGCAATAGCCATGTTTCTCCATTTGGAGATCTGTACATGTGGAGCCTGCAGACAAACTGCACCAGGTATTCCCCAACTCTTCCATCACAGGCCTTACTCACAGACTTAAAGTTATATGCACCTGTAAACACAGGTGTTCTCTAACCCCAAATTCTGCCATAAATAGTGTACTACTCAGTCCTGCACTAAAAAGCAGAACCTGCAGTTTGGGATCCACTGCCCTGCACACACCTCCTCAGCAGTTCTGTAACAGCTGCTGCTTCACTGTCCCATCCCATCAGCAAACCCCGAGAAAACTGCCAAGATACAGCACACCTTGTTTCCACGAGCACCTGTCACCATCACAGCTTTCCACAGTGCAACTGACAAACAGTCTTAAATGTCATGTGCACTGAATTGTCAAAGTCAAGGAAAGGTATCACAGAAGCTTGGGATTAAACCCCAACCCTTAAATTCCCATAAATTTCCACAAGTATCTCAAAATACAAAAGAACATTAGTATTCAGTGCTTTAGAACATGTCAAAGAAGTTCAAAGTTCTGACTGCTGAGATCAACAAAGTACTTCAAAGAAGCACTGGTGAGCATCATGGAAAAAGTGAATTTCAGGCTGGCGTGGTTAATCTGATTCAGAGTGTTCTTATAATAAGTCTCCAAGGAACAATAGGCAAAAATTTCTATGGCTGAGGCAATGAGTAATAGAAGACAAATCTATGAACAATAAACTAATTCAACTCATGTTTCTCCTGATACAATGCAAAGCAAAATTCCTTACTCTGGATTACAAATAAATCAACTTTGGATGAAGTCAGAGAGAGTGAGATGAACCTTTAAATATATTAATGTTCTTTCCTCTCCAATTCAGGCAACACAAGTGCCATGCTTTTCCATGTATATAAAAATAGCTATGGATAGTACAAAAAAAATCCTTCAGTAGGTCCCTATTAAGGTATGCTTTTCATCAACCATAATGAAACAAAAGTAGGCTCCTTCTTTGCTTTTATATTATTCTTAAACTGAGTGATGAAAAATAACACAAGTAAGTATGTGCCTATATTCACTTGAAAATCCTACAAAATCTAAGACAGACTACATTTCCACATAATATTGAAAAGGGAAAAAATCAAACATATCACCATAAACTATTAACCTATGTACAAATTAAAAGTATATTTGTGGAAAATGAAAGATGGGATAATGGTAAAAAGTTACTGTTAAGGTTACTTCACAAAAAATCTTGTTGTATGGCACCATCAACTATCACTGTGGCCCACTAAGAACCTCAGAGTTATCTGCAAACTTTGCTATCTGATCAGATGCTCTTTCTGGGCCAGAGTATAGCAAAAGAAGTCAACACTTCTTTCACTCCAGTTCTAGATCCCAGCTTAATGTGGCAAGAAACTGAAACAAAGCTTTTTTGACTACAATTTTTTTTTACAAATACACACATCTTGGGCAATATGATAGAGCAACCATTCCTTGATCACTGAATAAAAGAAGTACATTGCCAAATCACTTTTCATTTCTTTCCTCCATTTCCAGCTCCTGGGGCCAACCCTTTATGCTGCTAAATTCATACATTGTCTCTTAGCATGCAATAAATGGAAGAAAGCAAGTTTTTCGCATCCACACAAATTGTCCATAAGAAGTAGGCAATATTCCTTGAAATTTGCTTCCCTTCACTTTTTTAATCTCTACCCCTAAAATAAAAAAACTATTAAAAATTGAAAATGTTATTAGGAGAAATATCCAAGAGAAACAGCCAATGGAATTCAGTCCTATACCATCTTCTAACACACTGCTTGCCACAGACAAGCGGTGTCTCTGCATGCCCCTCATTTCTAAACCACAGGACTAGAATCGTCTAATAGTTTCTGTCATATTTTTATCTACAGGTTCATTCATATTCAGAATACATGCATGACATCTTGCAAAATACACTTAACACCTCTTACAAAGATTTAACCCTTCCTGTAACCTGCTGACTTTGTTCCTGTCAGTTCTGCACTTTAGTATTTGAAACAGCAAATGACTGATCAATGGAAAATATTTTACCACAGAAATAACTTATTTCTGCACTGTTTTCTTAAAATGAGCCTACAATTTCAAAGCAAATCCATATCCTGAAATAGAAAATTTGAAGATATTGATTGCTCCTTTTTTAACTCAAATAAAAGAACAATTTTCCTATCTAAAAGGCAGGTATCATCTCCACGGTGAGACACTGCATCTTTATGATCTATAATCACTTCATTGCTAAAACTATTCACACAAAATTCAAATTTAAAAGCACATTCCTGATGAAAAATACAAGGATTTAGAAAGGCAGTATTAAATAAATATTTTAATATTTCTATTTACTTACTATAGGTCTTCCTATCCCTAAGAAAACACATATTCAGCACATGCACAACTTTTTACCAGCAAAGTGAAGTACTGCCACAGTTAAGTAGAACTTGAAAAAAGCTAAAAAAATACACCTGAAAGTTCTATAAATAAAAACACAGGGGAGATATGGAGGCAGTGGTGCTGTCTACGTCAAGCTGGAGTGCTTGTAGCTCCCCCGGGGATGGACAAGGAAGCAAAGGAGAGATGATGGGTCAGGATTGAAGGGAGGACAGGGACTGTTGACATTAGAGGGGGGATTTGCTACAGGGACACCAACAGATGAAACCCTCTATAGACAGGGAGAGGAGCAGTCTTGCATGCACAAGCCCTGGTCTCCATGGGGACCTTCAACCACCCCCATGTCTGTTGGGGGGACAACACACCAGGGTATAAAAAATCCAGGAGGTTCCCGAAATGCTTCTCTTTTCAAGAGGAGCTGAAAAAGAGAAGTGCTATGCTGGACCTTGTTTTTTTCCAAGAAGGAGGGGCTGATGGGAAATGTAAACCTCCAAGGAAGCCTTGGCAGCCAGGACCATGAAATGGAGGAGTTTGAGATCCTTAGGGCAGTGAGAAGGGTGCCCAACAAGCTTGCTACCTTGGACTTCTGGAGAGCAGACTTTGGCCTCTTCAGGGATCTGTTTGGTAGAATACTACAGGATAAAGACCTGGAGAGAAGAGGGGCTCAAGAAAGCTGGCTAATATCCAAGGATCACCTCTGGAATGATGCATCCAGAACAAGAGGAAGTCAGACAAGAAAACCAGGAGGCCTATGTAGATGAATAAGATGCTCCTGGACAAATTCAAACACCAAAAAGAAACCTACAGAGTGTGGAAGCAAAGTCAATTAGCACGTGAGAAATACATAAAAATTGTCTGAGCATCCAGGGTTCAGGTCAGGAAAGATAAAGCTCAATTAACATAATCAAGACAAGGATGAAGTATGTAGGAACATCAAATACAATACAAATCCAGATGAGACTACACTAAGCAAATGAGGTTTTGGATTAAAACACAAGAAATTTCTTTTTGACACACCTTTCAATGCTAACAAAACCCCACACTCACCAGACACTCCTTTTGATACCCCAGAGCTACTGTGAAGCACCTTAGTACCCAAACAAATGTCAAGACCACTTTCCACCACGTATTATAAATCTACATTTCATTAAGCACACTGGAGATCACTGTTTAACCAGAAGAGTTATGGGGATTTTTAAAATGAGTCGATGATATTTCACTTCAAGGATCTAGTCAAAACAGCACCTAAATTCAGCTTAAATTTTTTAAGCTGAAAATTGCCCTATACTGGGACTTCTGACTTTCTGCTTTGGAAGATTTGTTATTAAGAACGATGCAAAAAAAATATAAACTAGTGACAGAGAAACATGGCATAAGCTCTTCTTTCTGAGATATGAATCCAGCCTGAATTTAGTTAGAGAAACAGCAAAACCAACAAAATTCAGAAAAGCATACACATGACTGGTAGTTCCTACAAAAGCTTCTATTTTCCTGACAAACTGGTCCCAATCCCCTCTAGAGCAGTAATTCCAGCTAGGTCATAGCATATCTGAATATACAATTTTATCAGTCTTGACAGCCCTTGAACTGATACAGCTTGACCTTTATACTCTTTGCCAAAAGCCACGAACAACCTTATGAACTTTTTTAAGTATTTAGTCTCGTCAAGATATTAGCTGACAACCCTTTTAACATCGAACATATGCAATGAGCTTTTCCAAGAAGATGTTAATGCATAAGGAAAACAAATGTAGATGAAAATTCCAAAGCACTTTTGTCAAGATTTTAGAGGGGCCATAGCAACATTTTTTTTTTCCTGACAAAAATATATAAAAAGGCTCTCCTATTCAAGCATGCCGTTCTGGATTTACCTGACTGAAGTTATTGTTAATATTATGCTCTTCTTAACCTGCTAAAATTGTTTCTGCTGTTAAATATTATTATAAATAAAATTTTGCCAGTGGACAGAGAATAACCAAGGGAAGACTGTCAGACATACAGAGAATGCTTAAGTTTCCAACACATGACCAGTTTCCAAGATCCAGGAATACTTACTCCAAGATTTTTTATCTTTTAGATATGTAAGCTTCAGCAATAAAAACTGTTGCTTTGTTATGTATGTTAAACTGTTACGCTGATCCCCTAAATTACTGCTTTTGCAAAAACAGGGAAGAAACGTTATTTAACACTGACTCATGGTAAAGTCAATTTTGTTGCAGTCTATTTATACCTTGTTCCTAGCAAAAACCACAGTATTTTCTCCTTCCCTTCTTCACCTCCTGCAATATTCTGAAATAGTAAGTATACTCTATGTATTGTCACTGCTTCAGTGTGGAGAAGACATTTTAATATAGAAGTGTGTAAGACTAAGTAAGTTGAGATCATTATTCCTAAAATGATCAGTGATTACTATTTTTAGAGGTCACTGAATATCTTTTGGAAAGGAACAAATGCAGGGAAAACATAAAATAAAAATCCCCATCAGAAGAGAATGTCCATATTCTCCTCAATATTCAGTTTTGGAAATGTGGTGTGAGCCTGCTCCAGCACAGAATCTATATGTTTCCACTGAACAAGATAAAAGAAACACAATAAAATAACACATAAATAAGCATTCTTCTTCAAAGTCCATAGCTGAGCTGTGTCCAATTATCAATGAAACTACTATTAGGCAAATAATAACAAATAAAATGATGGCATAGAAAGTGGTGGAAACAGAAGCACACAAATGCCAGAGCAGGATCATCTGACACTCCCTTGGCTTCTGTACTTCCAGCACAGGTGAACCTTAGCTCATCTCCTACCTGAAAACTCCAGAACAAGTAAATCAAATGACAGTGAGTGTTGCAGGCCATGACAGTGAAGTAAAGGATTTCAGAGCTGCATTGTAAGAGACTGCAGCCTTGTTCAGCCCAAATTCTACCTAAACACCTTGTGTTTCCTATCCCCAGTGTGCCTCTGAAGACCTAGAAACAGGGAATAGGGACACTGCACAAAGGCATTAGGTAGACTGTCAGTGTTTGAATTAATCCACAGCATTGACTGGTGGTTTACAGGAAAAGTCTTTACATGGAAAAACACTGCACCTGTTTCTATTACAAACAGCAGTTTTCCAGTGGAAAAGTTTCCTTTTGAATCCTTTTAACATCACTGAGTATAAGCTTGGAAAATTGAATATTAGGACTTTATAAAGCTCTAAAGAATTTTGTTCTTGACTTTACATCCAGATGCAAGTTTAAAATGATCTGTATGTAGTGTTGTGGGGTTCCTTTAGTTTGGTTTGGTTTTTTCTCATCAGTTCATTTTAAAACCTTGCAAAAATGCTGCAGTTTAATGATGGTCACTTTTTTGTGTTAGATCTTAATTCCTAAGCTTCACTTTAATTTAGAGTCTCAGGTAAACAAAAATGCACTTCTTGATTTGGGCTCTCCAGAACATCTTCCACTGTGCAGACAATGCAAAATCCTCCACCTTCAGAGCTCTAATTAAATGCTGCAGATCAGTATCAATTCAGGGATTCTTAAGTTACTGTTGAAAACTGCCTGAGGCAAACCAAGTATGGTATATACAAAACTGAACGTGGAAAAGAAGACCAAAGCAACAGAAAAGAGAAACAAAACCCCACAAACATAGCAATGAATGAGAATTATAAACAAAGCTACTGAGAATTCACTGAAATTCCTTCAGAGGGGTTTTTGGAGGGGAAGTAAGCTTTCTGTTGCTTTGTTTGTGTGTGTGCGGACTTTTTAATTGAATTTCTTTAATAAAAATGACCTGCCCTAATATAAGATTACTTCATTATATATATGTTACTTTGTAGGAATTTGGCTGACAAATTATCACTGAGTTTTTAAAAAAGCACTAAGAAGAAAACTGAATAAAATATAGATAATTACCAAAAATTGTTTAGAACATTATTAATAACATCATGTCATAAAAAAATTTAAGACCATAAATAACTGTGTTCAGGTCCTATCTATAGCTGAAGAATGTCAAAACAGCAAGCTGTTAAAATATAAAATACATGCTCATATTTGCATTCTGTTTTAGCTACAAGCATCAGTATTTTCAGTCAAGCTCTGCTACTTCTGTGAAATGTACCAGAAAAAAGAGTCAGACAAGCTGCTTACTGTAACAAACAACTAAAAATAACATTTACCAGTTTATTTGTAAGCTATGCCCTAGTTACACAAAACACTGGAAGAATGACTAATGAGTTTTATATTTGAGGCCCATTCAAGATCTTACTTAAAACCTAAATTGTGGTTACCTTAAGGAGACACTGTACTTGGGATAAAAGATGCTTCTATACTGAACCCAGGTCCCAGTTTCCTCTTCTGCACTCTGGTCTTCTATTGAAAAGAGATTGAAAGATGCAAACCTTCTGACAGATACTTGTTGGAAATGCACATCTTTCAAGTGCTTCTTCCTCAGAACCTTTGAAATTAAGAACATATTAAACATTAACAATAAAACAATAAAACAAGAAAAGAACCAACCCATGCCTTTTTGAGTGAAGAGGCAAACAATAATGGATATGCTATCAGCTAGCACTTATGAAAATAACAAAGTATGTCAAGCCTGAACAAAATACAGTGGTATTGATAGTAGGGGTCAAGAGAATGAGTTATGAATTATGTCTCAGTAACTAAAGCAAAGGTACTGTATTCAGAAGTACACAAAGCTGCTTTTTTAACTCACACTCCAGCAAACCCATGCAAAAATTAGAGGGCCAAACTGGGTTCTTCCCATCCTCTCATTTTACCACGTTTCCCAGTCCAAGCAGTGCCCACCACAAGCAATTCTGTGCCACTCACTGTCCCTATAGAGGGCGAAAAAGGTCAACAACAACAAAGGTATCTTTTGCAGAATTAAAATGACAAACCCAAAACATGATCTTCAGGTGCCAGAGTGCTGTGTGTTCCCCTGACAGATTCCTTCCTAGCCTAGAAGCCTTCTGCTGCACACTTGCAGAGATGCTGCCAAAGTTGCCTAAGTTGAGAAAATTGCCTCCTATCCCAGACCCCAGACTTTCAGACACCACAACTCTATATTCCTCAACCAGGTCCCCATAAGAGGACTGACACGAGCCAGACTTCAGGTGAGCCCCAAAACACTCTGAGAGCACCAAGTTCAGTGCTAAGAGACTGAAGAATTCAAGGCAGTGACAGAGACAGAATGTCATCTGCATTTTTTTTGATTATTAAAACACTTGTTCAGGAAAGTGAAAACGTGGCTCTCTGCCCTGCCTAGTCTGCTGCACTCAACCATCTTCAGGGAGTGAGGTACCAACCCCTCTGTGCAGGAGAACCAAGCACTCAGCTGGTTTAAGCTGTGCCATTGCTCAGAAGACAGCCACCATTTCCCTGCCAGACAAAAAGATTTATTCCTTAGGGCAGTGATGTGGAAGGAGAGGTGTCCTAGATTTAACTTCTTTCTCCTAACAATGGAGAGAATACATAAATAATTGCCATTGCTTGTTTAAAATTAAGGTGCATATGCAGTCCCCAGTGATAGATTAAAAACATTAAAAAATAAACAATAAAACAAAAACAAAAACCACAGAGCAGAAAAAAATAAAATGTCTATAAATTGATAGGGGTACAAGGAAGAGCTCCATTGAGTAGGACAGCACTGCAATTTACAAGTTTTTGCCAGCTAGAGATAAGTCAAATGAGAAACAGCTCACCAGAATTATGAAACTTGAAACAGAAGTTTTGCATACAGGATGTGTACAAAAAAAAAAAAAAAAAAAAAAAAAGTCAGTGATTTTTTTGCTGTACCCAACCTGCGTTGAGATGCTTTAACTGAAAATGTATTTGCATTCAAAAGCCTTACAGTTTGGGGCCATGACCTATTATTTTGCAGGATATTTGGAAGGATATATGTGAGCAGAACAATTGTATTTGCTACACTTTTGGTTTCTAACAGCAGGTCTGAGGCATCAGGCTTACTGCTTTTGGAGCTATTTCCACTGGCAGGTCTCATCATATGAGAGGCACAGGCATTTTCCATGAAGTGTGAAAAATGTCTGAGTGCTGTCCACACTACCTCTGTAACACGTGAGAAAAATACACACGTGAAGGAAAATGCAAAAATACCAAAGCAGGAGAACAAAATTAAAAGACCAGCAAAATTAAGACCTTCATGTAATAGCTGTGTGCCTAAAAACAAAATGGACTATCTTAACAACTAAAGAAAACCAGCAAGACCTAATTTTCAGAAGAGTGTGTTGTTTAGGGACTTCTTTAAAGCAATAGCAAGCCATTACTAGCAGGAAAAAAAAAATACAGCAGGAACAACACTTTTCTATTTTCAGTTTTTCTTGTACAGAGACATCTTATAGCCACTCCGTAAAATTAATTCTCTGGGTTAGCAAAAAATCTAATTTGAATACTCAAAAGAACATTTCTCCCACAGCCTCAAACAAAAATCAAGTGGTCTAATATCTGAAAATTACAACAGCAGGTCAAATATTTTCAAACCCTACATATAACTGAGAAAATAGCACAAATGGAGAATATGTTACATCATTTATATCTAACTCTGTATTTTTTACACATGGATCAAAGGGAGGGTTTTTCTCAAGTCTGTTCCTAAAAGGACCACAGTTGTGTTAAATAGGCTACAAATATAAATTACTGCTATAGAATAACCCACTGATAAAAACAAAAGGGTGTCAAACTGATCTTAACTCTTCACCAAACAGTCTCTGTTCTACAAGATTCTGGTAAAATATTACCACAGATCTCAATTGCAATGCCCTTGGTATTCAGTCACAGCATTAGGACCATGTTTAGGACTTCCTACAAAACCCAAAACTGGTTGGTATCTCTTAAAAAAAAAACCCTCACCAAAAAAAGAATTTCCCCAAACAACATGGAGAAAGGCAGTCACCTGAAATTCCCTGTACTTGTATATCCTTGTGTTAGGCCTAGTTCCACTAAGAGCCAAATTCAGTAACAGCTTATGGTCTACAAACCTCTGCCAGTTCTCTGGCAGTGACTGAAACAAGGTAATTTAAACACGCAAGAAAGTTTCTACACAATCAACTACAACATAACCTGTAACTGCACTCTAAATATCATCCATAGGACTACAGTATTTATTTTTACAAATAATTTATTAACCAAACTGTTTTATCCAACTGTAAACGATTTACAAACTCAAGATTAACAAAAACATGGAAAAAATATCTGAAGCACAGGCATCCTTCACAAAGAGAAGAGCAGGAAGCAAAGAAAATTTGTTTTAGAAGTGCTTCTGTTCAGGAAAAAAAAGTGTCATTGACCTGTCCTCACTTTAGCTTTTATTTTTCAATTCTGGAAGTTAAAATACATTAGCAGGTGACAACATACTCAGGGATGTGGTGTGGCTCTTGGGGATGACCCTGTGCAGGGCCAGGAACTGAACTTGATGATCCCTGCGCATCCTTTCCTGCTCAGCATAATCTGTGATTCTGAGACTTGTGTGAGAACAGTAAGAGAAAGGTAACAGGCAGGACAAACCAAAAAAAAGCTTACAGATTTCATGAAACTTTCTATAGGGAGCAAATGTACATATAGGGAGGAACCTAAAGCATGCCTATTGCTCTAACTTCCCTGCTGAAAACTACTGACTCGATAATGCCTCCAGCCACAGAGAGTGGCAGAGCTCAAAACACAGCCTTAGAGAACTTATCCAGTCATTTACAAATGCACAGTAAATGGGCAACTTCCCTCAGCATTTTTTTTTAAACGCAAAAAATATTTTTCTTGATTCTGACAAACTAAGTTTAAAAATATTGCCAAACTTCAAACTCAGTACATACATAAAACATTTCATTGATAAAGAGCACACAGGTAATTATGCAAACCCCTGGTTCTTTATGCTAGCTTCATAGGATACCTCATAAAAGGGCTTTTTTTTTCTTAATTAAATCAGCGAGCATGCACTCAAGCATCCTTACCATAGTAAATCAATTTGTGTGTGCATTGAATGAAAGCAAATTCAAGATATAAACACACCACAGAACTGATTTCACGTAAGGCATTATTATAAGCAGTATGAAAAGTGCTTTTAAAAGCACTGTAAGAAACACTTTGACAGTGCTCCTTTAAAAATGGATTTAAAGGGAGGTTGACACCTTCTTCCAATCCATAGATAGATCTGAGCACCACTGTAGCAAAGAGCACAGAACTGATTTTTACTTCAGATGTACCAGTAAGATTAAATTGATCCTTGCTCATTGTACCATATAAAAATCAACAGAAAAGCCAAAGAACATGGAAAAACCAAGGGAATCTGCAGAGGAAAAGGTCACGGATACATGTAGTTTGATAAAAAAAGAGAAGCCTTCTCCCCAAATACCTACATGCACTCTTCCACAACCCCACTCTATCATTATGAAAAGCTCCTTATGATTTTAAGAGACAGGAATATGCCAAAGGCAGTAGATGTTGAGAAGAAATAACAGCTAGTACAGCCACAGAGTGCAGCTTACATGGGCTGCTAAAACAGAAAGCTACAAAGACAAACCTGATATTCCTACCAGTAACTTTGATATTTCCTGCTCTGGAGTATAATAAAAAAGAAGCTGGTCCTATTGAAGAGGACTGGCAAACCAAAAGCACACACAAAGTGCAATATTGATGTCCCCAGGCCTCCCACTGTGACCCAGCTTCAGGGAGGTGCCCCTTCCAACCCGGCTGCCACCACTGACTCAGTGCCACCTCTCCGCCCTCTCAGGGACAGCTGTCCATAGGCAGCTCCAGATGTCCATCTGCACAGAATCAGACACTCAAGTTAGGGCTGTAAATTTCATATCCCAGAACAATAACAGCCAATGAAATAGACTAGAATTTTTAAGCCTTTATGCCTACACTCATCTGCAGAGAATCCTTTCCAACCTTGCACTGCTCCGAAAGGGTCTAAAACAGTGTGGAAGGCTGCAGCTGAGGAGCTGCTGTTTACCACAGCACAGGTGTCACCACTTGCTCCTTCTTCCTCCTCACCTTCCTCCAGCCTCTCAGCAAAATGCAGTTTTCATTGCCAGGTGAGCGGGGTCTCCCCCCACCTCCCCACCAAAGGCAGTCTGGGGGGGCAGGCAGCAAAGAGCAGGAATGAGGTGGCAGCCATGACAACCAGCCCCAGTGGCATCCATGGAAGGTGTCAAACTATGGCCTGAAAATCCCAAAGGGCCCTTGGGCGGTGGAGGTGCCAGTGGGATGCTGGTCCTCCTCCCTTAACACAGGCCATGGACAGTTTAGGGGTTCTACTGAAGGCACACTGAATCATAAAATCACAGAACAAGCTGAGTTGGAAGGAATCCATCAGGACCATCAAGTCCAACTCCTGGACTTGATGGTCCTGATGGACACTGTAAGAGTCACACCGTGTGCCTGAGAGCATTGTTCAAACACTTTGACTCTATCAGGCTGCATCTCTGTCAGGCTTGCCTGACACCACTTCCCTGGGGAGCCTGTTCCAGTGCCCAGCCACGCTCTGGGTGAAAAACCTTTTTCTAGTATCCAACCTAAACTTCCCCTGCACAACTTCAGGCCATTGCCTAAGTTCTGTCACCGGTCACGAGAGTGAAGGGATCAGCGCCTGTCTCTCCGCTTCTCCTCTCTTTAGAGAAGGCTGGGTGCATACATACATGTATATATTTTTACTATCGTATTTTCCAGGGAGAGTGCTGCAAGCGCCTTTACATGTCCCACCATAATATAGCTGGCAGTCCTCCTGTAAGGAGCGCGGGCAGAGCGGAACGCCCAGCACCGCCGCCCGGGGCACAGCCCGGCCCGAGGGAACAGGGAGAGACCCCGCGCTGCCCTCGGGCTGCCCCGCCGCCCGCCCCGCCATGCCGGCCCCCCGCCCGCGGGCTCCCCCTACCTGTCCGAGCAGCCGCCAGCGGGCTCGGGCCGCCGCCGCACCGCTCGCCCCGCACCTGCCCGCGGTGGGGCGGCGCGGGGAGCCGGCAGCCTCGGCCATGCGGTGGCGGGAGCGCCGGGAGCTGGCGCGGTGGGAGGGAGGAAGGGAGCGCTGTCTTGGGCGGCGGGGACGGGCCGCTGAGCATCCAGCGGCCGCGGGACCGGCCGAGCTAGGGATGGACTGGGAGGAGGGGCGCGGCCATCTTTGCTAAGGGCAGCGCCGAGCGACTCTCAGCGGCCGAGGAAGCGCGGTGCTCTTCAGGCCCGGCGCGGCGTGGGCGCGCCTCAAGACAAGTCGGCCGTGGCCACCGCGCCCGGGGACGGGACTGGGTGTAGCACGGCGGCCACCAGGGAAAGCGTGCCCCCCCCACCGTGGGTCTGCGTCCCGGCGCTGGCATCAGCGGCGCTCGGCCGCCGCGGCTGCTGAAGTGCCCTGCCGCCATCTTAGTTACGGGCAGCAGATGCCCCGGGAGCGCTGCCGCCCGCCCGGCATCTGATCCCGGGCAGCCCCGGCCCAGCGGGAGCGGGAGGAGCGGCGGCAGCGCCACGGCGAGTCCTTGCGCGGGCCGCGGGCGGACGGGCAGCGCCGGCGGGAAGCGGGGCCGCGCCGGGTCCGGCCGGACACGTGGGGCCCGTCCCTTGCAGTGCTCCTGCGAACGGGGTTCAGCTGCTGCTGCCCAGGGAGCCTCGGGAGGAGCGTGGCTTTGGTGTTACATGACGGGGAGCTGAGGGGGGCGACTTCTCCAGACTTTCCCAGTGTTCCGTCCTTCAGCGTTTGGACGTGCGCGGTTGCAGCTCGCTTTCTCCTCATAGTTTCACTGGAGTTAAACTTTGGGCCGCCAGGAATGTTCAGGTTAAAATGTGGGTGCCAGCTGTTAACAGACCAAGTTTAACTTGTTTTCTTCTCATTTGATTTACCTAGTGAATCAATCGCATTTCTTTCAAAGAGGAAGTTTACACTATGTCTGTTTCCTCTGTATGCATGTACATTTACGCCTGCTGTTTACGTTATGTATATTTCACACGCACAGCGTAAATGATCGGCAGTTTGGGATTTTCAGAAATTCCAGGTTGGCTGTCGCGAAATGAAGGTTAGGATGTGCTGCGCTGGACTGCGGAATCTTCTCCAGGGGCTGACCTTCAGTGCCAAGTACTACTCTAAGCATAACCCTCCTCAAACAGTGTGTCCTTACAGTAAAATTGGACCAAAAAAGCGCCACATCCTGGGCTGTTCAAAAAGTACATGCACCCACAGGACTGCACCACCTGGAAGCATCCTGCCATGCAGATTCTTTTCCTGCAAGGTATGCTGTTAGATAATAGACCTAATACCAACAACCACCTTGGCACATCTGTTAAGGAATCCAGTCATACTTTTCACATGTTGATGAAACATATATTTCCCAGAGGATTTTAAGCAGACGAATAAAGTCCAGAATATCAGTTACGTTCAAGGACATGTACCATTGTTCAGCTTTCCTATGCTGTTTTGACATAAAGCTGCATTTTGGTTGATTTTCCTGCTATTGTAATTTTGAAAAATTGGTATCTTCTAGACTTAGGTAAAGTGTCAGGAGAAAACTGGGAGAGATCAGCTAGGGTAGAGGCAAAGTGTCCAAACTGATGATGCCAGCCTGTGACCTGTCTGTCTCAAAAAACACTTGACTTTTCTGTGTTGACCAGTAGGTCATGGTTTCCATCATATTAAAATATAACATGATGCTCACATGTTCTAAACTATATTTTAAAAGGTATTTGCATTGATTTCTGTATATAAATATTGTGTAATTGGATGGGAGTAACTCTCATGCACCGAGTCAGAAAGCAGTCTGAAATAATTTTAGCTCGTGTGTCTCAGTGTCTCTAATACAGATTTTTTTGGAGGCATTATAAAAGTTCACTGCAGTATGACAGCCTAGAAACTTACTTATATGTATAAGTATTGTTTAAAAATATGTTTGTTTTGGTTTCTTTGATCCTTAAATGTTTCTTAATTCTTCCTTAAATGATCCTTATGTTTTCAGATAGGTGCCTGGTTGTCCAAAAATTGTTTCAGATGGTGTTTCTTCAGAGGTGACACCAAGGTCATCTTGTTGTAACTTTTATTTGTCACCATGAAATAAAGAGTTCCTAAGTGTCTCAAATGTAAGCAGATGTTTCAAGGAGAGCACAGGAGGTCTGGAGGGATGAGAATGTGTGTTCAGTTTACTCAGTGGAACTTCACTAACACAACTGTTACAAGTGCTGCTCTGTGACACTGGTCCCAGCATGCAAACATTGTTTTCACCTGAAAGGAGGCTGTGCCTGTTTGCTTTGGAGCAAATGTTTGCACACCAGTTGTCACTGAGATCCTCTGCTATCCTGAAAATCTTTCAAGATTGCTGGATTTTCCCCAGGTAGGGAGGTGTACTGTACACTCTTAATACATCCCTACACTGTGACCACCAGCTGTATATAATATTTCCAAACAAATACAATGGGAATTGCTGAAAACAAAAGGAGGGCAATCATCAAAAGATTCATAAAGTGTGGAACTTGTCAAAATAAGTTGTGGATGCTAAAATTTTACATAGGTATAAGGGGAGACATATATGAGATATAGCTATGTCATACATGAGAGAAGCTTTTTCAATATCCAGAAACCGTGTTCAGGTCAGGAAATTACTGAGGAAAAATTGTTTAAGGCTGGGGAAAATCATCTGTCTTGTCCCATTCTTACACTTTCCTAAGTATCCATTTATGGCCACTGTGAAGTTTTATTTGGTTGCATCATGTTTGGGGCATGGTGTTGTCTTACTACAACAGTTTTTCGAGTGACTGGGGTGAGGTGGTACACCTTTGGTATCCAGCATTTTGCTTCTCCTGACCGGTCACTCGCTTGCTTTAGAGCTGCTCTGAGAGCCTTCACACTTTCTTTGCCTTGTGCCAGGTGACAGGGAGGATTGGTCTCAAACAGTGACAGACTCTCTCAGCTCTCAGCAATGATGTGCTTTGTGTTCATGGGAAGTTTGGTAACTGGAGCAGATGGTTTCCCTTCAGAGTCTACTTGGAACATTCACATTTTGGTTCTTATGAGTTTCTGAAGACCAACTAGGAACAAACCAACATTCCTTAATGGACAGTAACGACAGGATATGAAGCACAGGCTGCTTTTTAAGCTCAGACACATTCAAATCTTACATTGAATGTTATAAAATGCTGCTTTATGTGATCTGTGCAGTACTATGTAGTGTAATATAAGTTGTGAAGCTTACTAATTGATCAAGTGAGATTTCACAGCATGCAAGAGGAAGTAGCATTGTTCTAGCAGTTTTAACACACTTTTAACATTTTTTACAATACAAGACAACTTTGTTGGCAGTGAGGTAGCAGTAATTTCATATTTCATGGAAAACCAGATCCTTAAACTTATTCCTGATAAAATTGTTGCAGAACCCATATCAGTTCACTTCATTCTGCACCTTATGAACATTTATATTAACACTTCTGAGGAGGTGGAGCAAGAACCTGAATGAGCTGCTAGGACTCTGAGGTACAGGGACAGAGGTGTGGGCACCGTTGTCTAGGAGAGGAAATGAGAAATTACACTCTAAAGACAGGACATTATGAAAGAAAGCTGTGAAGAAGGAAAAATAATAGATCAGGAAGATCCAAAAGATCAGGAAGAGTTAAAATAAAACACATACCAACTGCAGTTTTTGTTTTTATTGGCATGTACTTTTGTAATAATGCAAAGGTGGTTTTGGGCCTGTGGCTCAGGGGATATCACCTCAATGTATTCAGATTGGTGTGCAGTGTGCTAGCTTGTAGCCATTGTTGTCTTTCCTTACTTAGCAGGAAGGAACCAAAGTCCCTTCCAAAAGGAAGCAAAATACATCCATAGACCTTTTGCACAAGAACCTTCTGAAATCAGAGAAAAAAAACTGGAATAACATTTCACCAACATACAAAGCTATGACAAAGAGGATCAAAGAAAAACTGGAAGAATTGCACAACATGTATACACTCAATTCAAGAAGCCCAAAGGTAAGTGGCAAACAAAACAAACGTTTCCCATCACTGACTACAAATAAAAGGCAGTGGAGCTGTTCGTGCTATAAAATGCTGGTTTACTCTTTTTTTTTTTTTTTTTTTTTTTTTTTTTACAGTAGAAATGTTGAATATTTTAATAATTGTGCATAGTAACAGTTTGTGTTTAGAACAGCTTATAGTTGTTATGACAGTGAATTTACCTTAATTTTTCCACAGGCAAAAGCAAATAAAGATAAAACAATCATCTGACTTGGATAATGAATACAAAACATTGTAAGTTGCAAGAGCAGTTGCAAGTGATCTGATCTTTCTGTGAAATTTAGAGCAGGTAGAGGTAGCTTAAGTACCCTAACTGAAAAAACCTTTCTGATGTGTGCTGTTCCTTCTTCAGTATGGAATATATGTTCTGTCATTTGTTACAATTTGTTACACTTCTGCTGTACAGAAAAATGACTGTATATGGGGATTCAAAGGAAATAGTATGCTGGACTTGAAATATTTTTGTTTGTATTGAACAGATGAGGTTTGGAGAGAATGTGTACTTTGAAGAGAATGGCTGCATATTTCTTGCAAAAGCAGATGATGGTAAGGGATTTCTCTTTCTAATATGGTAGGATTCTTAAAAAAGGTATACATGTATCACTTAGTGCTCTTTTCTTGCATTAATTCGTAACTTGTCTGTTTCTTAACTAAAAATACTTTTATACAATTCTGTAATAGAGTAATAATTCTAGATTCCTGAATCTGAAAAGGTGAGGTTGAGAGTTAGAGAATAGTATATATTGATACTAAGGCAAGTTGCTGGAAAGAGAGAAGACACTTCTTTGCAGAGCCCTAACCTAACACTTCGAAGAAAGGAAAAGAACATCCATGCTTTTTTTATTTCTGAGGTGGGGTGAAAGAATTTCTAATTTTATTTATTAAAAACAACTGCACCTTAGCTATCTGAGCTTTAAAATTCAATATGTTTAGTAGAAGCCAAGATCTACACTTTTGAAATATTTTTAGTAATAACTACAGGATTTTTTACGTGGAACTGTAATTTTTTTTGTTTATTTTTACAAAGTGCATTTGCAAATATCATGCAAGACAGGTATTTGTTGTTGATAAATTCCAGTGGGGTGTTTGTGAATATTGGAGACAGATTTGTTAGATACAGACATTAAGAATCACCATTCATTTTGACAGTGTCTTAATTACAGGATTTTTTGCTACCTCTTTTTCCTGTGTAATAGGTGAAGGAAATGCTAAGATTTTATTCAATGTTGAAGATCTTGGCTTTTCTGATGCCTTTATTCAACGGATCAGAATTTCACCAGATCAGAGATACATGGCCATCAGCTTAAAAAGTGAAAATTCTGAAGAGGCAACCTGCATTGTTATGAAACTTGGTAATCTTCCTGTAGTGGAAAAAGTAATTCCAAGTGTATTTAGCTTTGGTAAGTAGTTTATAAATCCTGTGGATCACACAAGCTTTCAACACAACACTTTTTTTAGTTTAAAGATAATTTTTTTTTTTTTAATGAAGGCAATATTTAATCCTTATAGGTGTTGAATTTTTTCTTATGGTTTCTTTAATGCTGCATGATTACAGGCTGTCTGATATGGATGAAAGGGACTGCTTCCTGGATGCAAGTTTTCCTTAACTGTAAAAGCATTTATACACATTACAACAGTCATAATTTTTTCCATTGAATCCAGTATGCTGTATTCAAAATATAGTGACGTGACTGTCATATAAAGGTCTTTTTGAGGGATGTTCTGGTTGGTAAACCCTTGCAGCTACAACTGAAGTCACTGGTAGCTTGAAAAGTTGGAAGCACTACCTACTAGTGAGTATTGGCTGGAATTTCAACTGGAATCTATGATGTGGGTCACACTTCAGAGCCCAGTGAAGTCAGCCAGGTCTTGAATCAATTCTTTCAGAATAGATTACAGAGCTTTACATTGCTGTTAAAAGAAGCAGAGGTAAATGGAAGTGAATGGGAAAACATTTTATAGGCTGTTAAAGAATATAACAAAAAGAGTATAATAGTATGTACACAGTGTTCCACATCTTGTACTTTGGTAGATGTCATCAAGTATATCTAGTGCAGTAAGCAATTTGCCTGGGCAGAGCAAAAAAATGAAACTCTATGTAAAACTTCCTTGTTAAAAAAATGAGGAGCTGCAAGAATTTAGTGTTGTGTTTCCACACTGAAGATTACACTACCTATTGAAAAACAAACATGCAAATTTGCCTATGACATTTTACAGCATACTTGATTTGAACATTTATCTAGGTTGATCCAGAAGAATCAGTACAGTTAAGAGACCAACATGCTGTTGCCTAAATAGGTGTGACAGATAATAAAAGTACAAAAGATGGCTATCAGAATGGTAAATTCTGTAAAAGGTAAAGGTAAGGTAAGGTAAGGTTGTAAAAGTAACCTGTAAAGGTAAGTCAGGTGTTAGTGAGGTACAGCAGTAGTGCAATGAAGCACAGAGGTGCCTCAATCATGAGCAAAAGAATTAGGTCTTAAAACCACTTGCAAAGTGTATGGGCTTGTATTGAGTGATATCAAATAGCAGGGAGACAGACAAAAGTTCCTGAAAATTTACACCTTGATTTTTGTATAGGCTAGGCTATAGAAAAACTTGGATTTGACCTCTAAAGGCTTGTCTTCATAGTGAATCCTCAGCCACCTGTGCACTTTGGAGCCACACTGCTGTTCAGAAAGGGAAGTGGTTGTGTTATTTTGGTGTTACGAAGTCCTCGGGCTTTGTACTGAAAATCAGTATTTATGCATAAGACACATACAGCAGCTTTTAAAAACACACATGTTAAACATCATTCTGTTGGCAGTAGGAGCAGCAGAGATGGCAGGAATGTGGCTGGATCAGTCAGAAAAACTTCAGAATAACAAGGTTCCTGTATTTATACCTTTCTATGTTGGTGAACACATATACAAGCATAGAAAACTGGAGAATTTTTATCTCAGCAGTACCCATGGGGCACATGCATCATCTCTTTTCTCTAAATGGCTTGTGTGCAGTCACATGCAGCAGTGCAGAGCTTATGATGTCTTTATTATCTTGCTGACTCCATGTAAACCTCTTTTTCTCTGCTGTTTTAAACAACCACGTCTCCTATTTTCCTGTTACCTCCAGAATCCACACAGGGTCAACAGCTTCCTGTTACTGGGCCCTGCAGCACTGACCTCTGCTTTCTTTTTTTTTTTTCTTTCTTTTTTTTTTTCTTTTTTTTCAATGCATTATGAGATTTTTGTTCTGTGGTATTCAGAGAAAACATGGGAAAACCTTTTGGCTCTTACCTCAGTCCCCACAGGATACAGAAGTGCTGTCCTTAGTTCCATGCCACCTACAACCCACCTTTTTCAGCACTGGGTCCAGTGTCCATGGGAGTCCCATCTTCTCTCAGTAATATCAGTAATATCATCTCCTCTCTGAATTTAATGTGTATTTGTCTTTTTTTCCAGAATGGGCTGCAAATGATATTCTGTATTACACAACTCAGGAGAACCTTAAATGCCAGAATGTATTCATGACCACTTTCACTTACCAGAAACATACTAAGTTAGTTTATACAGAACAAGATGCAAGGTAATACATACCTGAAATATAACAAGTCCTTTACATGTTTTAGAGTATTTTATATGTAAATTATAACTGGTTTGGAAAACAAACTGTTCCATATCGTATTTCAAATAGTAAAATGCATTTTTTGTGTTCTGCTGTCAGTAGTGCCTTATACAGCCTGAGAATGTGCTCTGTTCTCCTTTTGATGTGTGATTAACAGTGATTTAACTTTCCTCTCTTACCTCATAAGTTCAGCTGAGTTTATAAATGTCAAGGTCACTCTCAGGTCAGGGTGTCCTTTAATGAATGTGTGACAGTTTCATAGAGGGTAAATCAGACCGCAGATTTCATTTTGTTTTCTCTGCTGTTGATGTCTGATACATCTTTTTAAAAAAATACTTAAGTTCAGGCTAATCCTTGCTCTGGGTAATGGATTGGCAAAATCATTACAACATTCCAAGAGACAGAACTATTGTTGACTGAATACCCTCTCAATAACCTTTCTTTAAGCAGTGGTTTAGGAAGACAAGAAAGCTCTTTGCTAAATTGAGCGCAGAACTAGCTTTTCAGCATTGTAGCACGTGGTATATTTATACAGCATTGCATAAATATTTGTGATTATTCTTAATTCAAGTTACATATTCAGTAAAGAAATGCCAATTATACTTTCATCGGGAAAAAAAAAAAAGAAAGCAAACAAAAAAATCTGCAATGGAGATGGAATAAATAAGATCTTTTTTTTTCCAGCTGCATTTGATGCATCGTTTTGGAAAATCAAGTTGCAGTGACCTGGCACTTCCCCACAGGGAAACTGTTGGCATAATTCTGAAGGTCACAGTCATTACAATAGATCTACTAGAAACTTACTCTAAAGGTTCATGTGCTATTGCAGCTCATAGCTGAGCTCCTTCATTGGAGATGGCAAGACATTCTTTTCTGTTGCCATTGAGCAGTTCTGTTCTGCCTCTCACCAGCTCTTCTAGTTGCAATCAAATATTTCTTTAGAAGTTGAAAATTTCTTGATTTTTTTAAAAGCTACAAAGATAAAAAAATTGTAATGTCAAGGTCATAATCCTTGGAGAGAAGTGTAATATGCATTTCAGCTCAACCCTCTTAGAAGCAGGATCAGCAGAGCTGAACTCTTGGAATCTCTACTGAATGCAGTGCCACATTCTTGCCAAATTCATGGGTATTAGACAGGCAGGAGGCTGATTTTTCTTGCAGACTTTAGCTCCCCCTCTGTGCCTGTACTAAAGATGTCAAGAGGGTGCAATTAGAAAACCAATAGTACCAAAAATATTTGAGATCCTCCACCTGAAAATAATTAAAGGCACTGAAAATACTATCTAAAGCATTCTTTTCTTCACCAGTCAAATACTCTGAATCCTAGAGAGATCATCATTGCAGTCATGTATCTGATCTGTGTGATGCAGATTATGGTACTCAACCCTACATTTTCTTGATGGAATCTGGATCTTTGTGTTGGACCATTTTGCTTTTAGAGACATCCAGTCTTAAGGGTTCAAAATGGCAAAGAGACTGTTCTGGTCCAAGATGTGAAATTCCAGTTAACTCGGATGACTGACAGAAATTTGAATCTGAATTTCAGCCTGAACTTCTCTACTATTAGTATCCAGGCACTGGTTATCATTCTGCTTTCTGTTTCTAGATTTTAGAGGGATTTAAATCCAGTAGATAGTTCCTAGTTTCTTAGTTCCAAAACCAGTGCCTAGTTTCCAGCTTTTATTACTCCAACACTGTCCATCTTGCCTCATATAGGCCTCTGTACTTTTTTTCTTTTTAAATAGTACTTTTTGTCTTATTTGCTTCAAACAGTTAGGTCAGTAGCACATAGACATTTTAACAATTTAATTTTTTAATAGCTCTTACTTTTGTTCTTGCTGTTCCCACATGATGTCATTTATAATTTTAACTATCCACTACTTTTTACTACTTTTTTTTTTAAATAGGGTTACAGGCTCAATAAAAAGTTCTACATTTTGCCTGAATTTTAAAGCCTGTATGCATCAACGAGCTTCCAGTCTAGCTCAATGATGCAAAAATCTGGATTTAGTTGGACAACAACTAAATAGCTTTCTGTGCAGATTTCAGGTTTCACACACAAGATAAAAGGGTTTTAAATCCCAGGGTAAACGCAGCAGAAATGGGTCTGGGAGCCAAGTAGCCTGAAATTTCTCCAGTCTGCTTACAGAAATGTTGTTTTTTACCTTGCAGATGGAAGCCCATGATTCTGAAACAACTGATGTATTTTAAAATACTGATAAAATTTAAGCTTTTTCTTTTTTTTTTTTTTATGATTCCCTACAGATTCTTTGTAGACCTTTATTGCACAAAAGACAGGCATTTTCTCACTATCAACAGCAACAGCAAGACAACCTCAGAAGTTTGGCTGGTTGACTGCAGACGTCCCTTTGAGTCACCTGCTCTTGTACAAGCACGAACCACGGGGGTCATGTACCACATCGAGCACAGAAAGGAGCAGTTGTACATTCTTACTACATATGGAGAACCTGCAGAATATAAGGCAATTTTAACTGATAATTACATTAATAGGATTAACATAGATGCCTATTGCAGGCCATATAGAAGTAGTAAGGTTGGCTTTTAATTCTGTTCATCACAGCTTACTGAAGTAAAGTAAGAGTGAGAGCTGCATGGATTAAAAAGACTGATAGTGCTGCATGGAGTCTCACCTGTAGGAGGCCAGTTTGATCCTAACTCCTTTGACAGCATCAAGAAATGACTATGCTTCAACAGTCACTTCCCCTATATCAAAACTTAAATTGGTGATCTCAGTTTGTGTAATCAACCCCACCTGCAATTGTGCTGGCCATACTGAGAGCACTTACTGTATTACAATCTTCTGTAGAGTAATCTTTGAGGCTTTGTCTTCTCCAAATGTTACTGCATTGCTCTTCCATTTTACCTAAGTAAAGGGAGTTTAAAAATCTCCAGTTTTAGACAGGCAAACACCCCAAATACAAATAAGTATTTTTTGCAAGAAAAATGTAAGAGATAACCTATAAGTCTGTACCTGTCATCTGTAACTCTTAGTACATTTTAGTAATACAAGGTTCTTGCTTTGTTTTTTTTGTTTATAGTTGATGAAGGCACCAGTAGCTTCTAGTGGCAAGGAGAACTGGCAGTTAGTTTATGCACTGGAAAAGAAAACCAAGCTAGTAGACTTTGAGATGTTCAGTGATGACTGTATTATGTTCCTGAAGAATGCTGGTCATCTTTACTTAAATGTGATTTCTTTTGTTTCACACTCTGTTCAGTTGATAAAGGTATGTTTTAGCTTGGTTTAAGCAGCATAATATTTTTCCAGCTTTTTTGGGGAGGGGCGGGGGAGGTTGGGTTTTGTCGGTTTTTTGTTTGGTTGGGTGGTTGGTTGGTTGGTTGGTTGGTTTTTTTGTTTGTTTGTGGGTTTTTTTTTTTGTTTTTTGGTTGTTTTGTTTTGTTTTGTTTTTATAACATAATGAAAGCAAAGATAAATTACACAAGTAAAAAGCAGTTTGGAAGCTATGTATACTGGCAATTTCATTGTTTTGACTAATTGTGTTACCTGTGGCTGTTCTTCAGGATTTGATGTGGTGGCTTATTGCAGCATTTAGAAAGTTAAAGAGCAGCTATCCTGTGAGCCAGTTCTTTCTTCAACGGATTACAGTCAAGCTCTTACAATATAACTGACTTCTAATGTAAAACAGAACTTAGTTCCCTAAATGCTCTACTTAGTTTTACTGAGCCTTTTTTTGCTTACACTCATTGGTGTAAGCAAGGCCTCTCCCACAGGAAAAAGATTAATGTTCAGAAAACAAGTATGGACACTGTCCCATGATAAATGAGAAGAGTTGATATTGCAGTACCAATGGTGCAAAGGATTTGCTTCCATTCTCTAGTTGTTAAATACCTGTAGGTTAAAAACAAAGTAACTTAAGCCAAATCCATTTTCGGAAGATCACTCAGGTGAAATATTTAATTGATTTATTTTCCTGAAAAATACAGTCTGAACAACTCCCAAGTTTATTGCAACAAGCTGCCAATACTGCACTCCATAAAACTGCTACAGAAAAAGGATTTCCACAAAGTACACTGTATGGTCTCCAAAATCTTCAATTTTTTTTTAAATGGCCATAGTTTATTTATTCAGAAAGGGCCTGCAGTTACTCAGGAGAACTTGGACTTCTGCTGCCTTTTCAGAAGCCTCTAGCAGCCTAACCCAAGTAAGTAATGGTCTGGCAGAGGGTTTGGCTATGTCCCTGCTGCTCTCAAAGAATGAATCTTGATTTCTTTCATTCTTAGCAGAGTTAAAAACCTTAAATATAATAACAGTAAGTATCTGAGGGTGAATGTGCCAGGAAAAGGGTTTTGTTCTTCACAATGGCTGGCACTAGGAACAAAGTTAAGAGGCAGGGGTTTTCAGTGGCTTAGCATTACTGAGCTAACTCACAGTAAAAGCATAATAGCTGACATGGACTTGGCTGTATAACGTGTTGAAGTAGAACTGGAAATGCAAGGAAAAATAGGATCTAAAAAATAAAACTGATGCAGAATAATTTCAAATGTTTTCTTTTAAAAAGTCTGCACTAATACCCATTTTTAACTGAATTTGAATTTATTTTTTGTTTTTAATTCATTGTGCAACTTTATCCAATGATTTTGGGGGGAAAGTTCATCAGTCTTTCACTTCTTGACTGTTTTGTTACTGGATTTAAATGAAATTCAGATTGTGCTACATACAAACTAAGATAATTAATTAATATCCAAAGTCTTTTACTCTGAAGGACATATTAGGCTAAATTTACAGAAGCAGTGTAAAGGTCTCACTTGAAATGCCATGTTTTTGCAGCTACCTACGTGGGCCTGTGAATTTGAATTGGAATCTCATCCTGAACATACCACCAGCACCTGCTATTTTCAGCTCTCCTCCCCAGTACACCCCCCTAAGCGTTTTGCATATTCATTTAAAGAAAATAATCTCATTGAACAAGCTGTGCAAGAGGTACCAATTATTACGAATTGTCACACTACACGTTTACTAGCTAAAAGCAAGGTAAGATTTTTCAGTCTTTTTCCCATTCCTTTTATTCTTTCCTTCCTCCCCACCCATTTAAAGAAAGTGCATTTGGCAGGGAACAGAGATTAAAAAATGTAAAGAGCAGTTGGTGCTATAGTTATTAAACAGTGGGTGTTTTCCTCAGTGCTATACAGGAGAACAAGAAAGAGTCGTGATTTTTTTTTCCATTAACCTGGGTATTCCACAGGAGATAACAGCACACGATGAGTCAAGAAGCTTAGTATAAGTGAGAATTGCTAGTTGATGTAATGGTATTGTACTCCACATGATAAATGAAAAAGGTGCCAGCTGTTGAAAAGAGCACCCCACAACCAGCTGCACAGTGCAGATCAAGAAAGGAAAGTTTTAACAGCCTGAGTTTAAAAATTTGGAAATGTTAATAAAGAGTTTGTGCTATGGTAAGTGGTAAACTCTATTGTTAATAACATATATTCTTGGTGTTAAAGGGGGAAGGAAGACTTGGGTGCTTTGGCAGTTTAAAAACTCCTCAGGTGTTGCACTTAAATGAATTTATACTCTGCATCTGTAAGCCCACACAGCAGAGGTTCAGTCTCAGGCTTTATTTTTCAAGAGTGCTTTGTAGACTCTAAGTGAAAAAAAATTACTGTAATCAAAAAAACACATTTTAAAATAAATAATTGAAGTTTTCATTGCCATGTGTCATTGAGATTTCTGCAATGTCCCTTATTGTAAAACTACTCCTTCTTTTCCAGGATGAAACTTTGGTGCCAATTACAGTTTTCCATAATAAGAATTCTAAAGAACTACACAGGAGACCACTTCTAGTTCATGTATATGGAGCTTATGGCATAGATTTGAACATGAGCTTTAAAGAAGAGAAGCTGATGTTAATTGAAGAGGGTTGGATATTAGCATATTGCCATGTTAGGTAAGTCAAATATAAAATGGAAATAAGATTTTATTTTGCAGGATACACAGATTCTTGTTTATGTACAGCTGAAGATGCACCTTTTTTTTTTTTTTGTGTGTGTGTACCTATACCTAATGATTCATATCTTCTTAGATTTTTTTATTTAAGTAGTTTTTAAATTTGCCTCAGGGAAAAAACCACAAGAGCACACTACATTTTTGATTTCTTAAATCTACACGATGGCTGTATGTAACTTTTAATCTTTTCAAGTCTCATTACTTCTTATCTCATCTTTGCTCAAGAAAAAATTCAGTTCGATGCTCAAATTGCCATGACATGTCACCTCCCTCTCCTTCTGAGAGCATTGTGTGTTAATGCTTAGCCTGAGTCTTCTGAAAGCCATTTACATTCCACAGCAGCAACTAAGCATTTAATCTGCAACCCTTGTTCTTTTATTGGCTAAATCCTCTATCTCCAGCTACAAATCTACCAGTTTTATAAAACTGCAAGGTACAACAGGCTTCAAAATTTTCTCAGTAGCTAAGGAAGATAACAAAAGAATCACTTAAGGGAGGGGAGGGGAGGGAAGGGGAGGAATGAGTAATTGTTGGAAATACCAGTCCCAAAACAAATTCAGCAAATATATTCAGTCTGCTGTACTCAGTGGCAAGCATTGTGCTGTTTTTCCTCACACCCCACTAAGAATCTTAACATGCAGGTCAGTCCTACATAAAGATGGATTTGTCATCCAAAGATGGCAGGCTAATCAAATAATCTATTTGAAACCTGAAACCAGAAGAGGAAGAAGCTTCAGGTGGCTTAGAACCAAAATTGTGGTTGCATAGAAAGTATAAATTATTTTTATAATTCTGCACTCCAAAATGTAACATTTCAAGTAGCATTTGAAATTCACAAATTAGGGAGGAAAAAGCCCAAACCCAACTTTCTAACAGTCTCAGAATTTAAGCTAAGTGGAAGACAAATCCAGAGAGTCTGGTGTGGAGCTCAGAAATACTGTTCTACTGTTTTTAATAAGTAATAGTGTTAGTAATGGAAGTATTGAAAATGTTTTCAATATTTTCATAGTTTCCTGTATAAAAAGATAATACTATCTGATTTTTATTGCCTACAATGAAAATGTCATTCCCTAAAGTGTTGCTTTTCCTGTGGATTTCAGGACACAAGCACATGTGCCCTTCTACAGTTAGTATTTTCACCAATCATCATGAATGGATTTATTTTGCCCTAATGTTTTCTCTTTTAGCCATAAAGAAGGGTAAAGGGAAAAGCAGAGAAGAGTTAGTTGGGAAAGTAAACTATGATGTGCCACTCTGTGGCTGCTGCTTTTCTTTTGTTATCTGAAACTATGCCATGTAGTGTTTTCTGAAGAGACTCCAACTTGAATTGCATTAAATTTCAGGGGTGGAGGAGAGCAGGGCCTTAGCTGGCACAGAGATGGATGTCAGCATAATAAACTCAAAGGTCTCCATGACCTCAGGGCTTGCATCACGCTGCTGCACCAACTGGCATTTTCTCAGCCCAAACACACAGCTCTGGCAGCTGCCAGTGCTGGGGGAGTTCTCGCAGGAGCCCTGTGCAACACAGATCCAGAACTGATCAGAGCCGTGGTTTTACAGGTGAGCTGCTGCAGACCTTGTACAGATTACAGCATTAAACTGTGTTATCTGTGTTATTGTACCACTTTCAGAATTGGAAACATTCCAGTTCAAAGCTCACTCTCCTCATTTGTTTGAGAACACCTTGACTCAGATACTCAAGGTCCTCTGTCCTATTTGCCAACTTTTTTTTTTTTAATGACTTCTAAGGCTCCTTTCGTAGATGTTCTAAATACAATGATGAAAACTCATCTCCCACTGACAACTGAGGAACAAGAAGAATGGGGAAATCCATTAGAAGATGAAAAATGTATGAAGTATATAAAAAACTATTGCCCATACCAGAATATTAAGCCACAGGTAAAACTATGCTTTCTGTGCAGAATACTTCAGGCATAAAGTATAGTGGTTTATAAGAAAACCAGAAGTAGATCACTGAAATTTTTAAAAAACCTCCAATATAAATTATTTCAGTAATAATCTTAGCAATAGCTGGAGTCACAAGTGACTACTGAAATGAACCCAATGCCTTCTCCTAAATTATGTGAATTTCTGGACTTGCTTTTGCTTTAGGACTTTCAGGAAGTAATAGATTATTGTATAGCAAATCTCAACATGCAAAATGCCTTCTTTTGGGGGGGAGTTTTGACATCCTACTGTGTTTTGCTGGCTTTTTTGAAGACACAGGAGGAAGGAGGTTTACACTGGAGGTATTTTCCAGTGGAAGTTGGAGGGATTTTCCACTGATGGAAAATACCTCCACCTGAGGCATCTTCCAGTGGAGGTGGAGGTATTTTCCACTGATTTAATACCTTTCTGGAGGTATTAAAACAAACACTGAAAGGGAAGAGGACCTATAGCTTTGACATTGTCAAATAGAGATTTCCTTTGAGATGACAGTGTGTTAGCTGTGTTGTGCAGCTTCATTAAGTAAAATTGTTACTATTTAAAAACCAACTTCTGTGCAGAAAGATTGCAAAAATAAACTTCAACTATTGTTCTAAGGTAAACTATTCCATGATTATTACTGCCTTTTTCTTTTGTTGCAATCATCAGCAAGCAGACAGGTATCAGACCTTTTCCAGTGGGAAGAGGATGTTTTTATGACCTTCTGCAAGTAGATTATGCCCAACTGTGAAGTCATTTTTCAGACCAAAATACTTTTTGCAGTTAGAGTGATAAAACTCTTAGAAAATACTAAGTAATTATGTAATAGATGAGTTCTTAAATAAACCCTAACAAGTTGTATGGTAAGAGAAAAGTGTGTTAATCTGTGAGAAACACCAGTTGTCAAGTATTTAACTGGTTTTGGTTTTTCATCTCAGTGCTACCCATCAGTTTTTATCACGGCGTATGAAAATGACGAACGGGTACCACTAACAGGAATTTTACAGTATGTGCAGAAACTCAGGAAGGCTGCACTAGATCATGCCAGCAGAGCGAGTAAGAAAGGTAAGGATAAAAATATCACAGATAAATGGAGTTAACTGAACCAAAATCTTAATAGTCATGTAAATTAAAAACCACAAGAGATTGACTCCTTCTTAAATGAATTCAAATGCAATCCCATATCACCAGCTCCACGCAGACTCAGAACACTCTCTGAGATGCAGAAACAAAGACTGGAAGCCTGTGAGGGGGCTCACTCTTTCCTAGGCCTCCACAAAGGGCAGTTGTTGGATAGTGCAGGGTGAACCCACACTGTCACTCCAGCTGCTGACAGGGCTAGGCTGCAGTTCTCAGCAACCCTTGGAGAAAAATCTTATTTTTGCTGCTATATAAAAACCTATTTTTCTCACTTTTCTAAAGCTGCAGGTCTTTAGTTCAAGCTAGAGTGACAAGGCCAAGGCACAGGTGCTTTTATACCTGAAACTTAACCCTGGCTTTGGGAGTTTCCAGCAAAAAGCACATTCAAGCTTGACAATTTTCTTGTACCATCCAGTCTGGGGAGAGGCTTTTACCATCATTACCAAAAGAGATCTTGAATAACATTTTCTACATTTCATGATGCCCTGTCTCTGAGCAGCACAACTGAAGTGGTTGAGAAATTGCAGCCACTGCTGCGGTTGCTGTTGTGCTCTTTGTGCAGGAAGAAAAGAGCACGGCTTTCCAAAAAGACTCAGAGAGAACAAACACACTAAACAGATTAATACTTTCCAAGTATGTAGTTATTAGAAATACAAATAATTCATTCAGAAAGCCCCTCTACAATTCTCTTTTTCTTAAGGAACAATAGAAATTTTGTCAGGACAAGAAAGCAAAATTAGCTATCCTTAAACAATTCACATACCCACTTAATATTTTCCTTGTTCATTCAATGTAAAGTGATCACCAACTTAATTGTTCCAGGAAATTGGATTCCTAATATCATCCTAGATGTCCAGGCAAATGGCAGTCATTGTGATTCATCCTGGGAGCACTCACTGCATGAGGTATGGTCCCTTTACCACACAGCTCCTTAACATGTTGCAGGGATGTGTCCCCTCAAGGAATTCTTCAGCCTCAGTAGCTGGGCAGTCACTGAATGTATGTTTAAACTATAAAGAAAAACTGCTAGAGCAACTGCTGATTTAACATATATATGTGTGTATATATATATAATTTTAAAACCCAGCACTCTTTATATATATCTATTTTATACATATATATACTGGTACAGATATAAAAGAGTGACAGAGCCAGATTATTGAAATAGCCTTAAAATAGTGTTCAATTCCCACTGTAATGTGCTAGGAGCTTTGAATGAAAGGTTCCAAGTTGTGCAAAACATCGTTCCAGCAGGAAGAGTCTTGTTCTGTAGAGTATTAAATGCTTAAAACTGTCATACTATTTACTTCTATCTTCCTCATTGTGTAAAGCATACATGATGGGTTGGATCTTTACATTTTGAAATGCATGATCTGTGCTATCAAAGCTATTACAGTTAGCTTTCAAGAATTTGCACTTTATACAAGCATGCTTGTTAAAAGCAAAATACTGCCAAGACTTAACATATTTTTACTGATGTCTGAGACTGTCACAGTCGGATACAAATTTTATTACTCTTAATTTTAACAAATCCTAGAAAATGTTAATTTGGTGGTTATGGCATTTATTCCCAAGATGAATTCTTTCAGGAAAAGCTCCATGCTGTCTTAGGACAAGGTATTTCTAAGCATTAGTATAGGAAAGGAAGATGACTAGAATAGCTGCACAAGAGCCTGAATGTTTAGAGTGCAGAGAACTTTACTTTGTAATAAAATATTTTCATTATTTTAGGTTGCAAGACACCTTGCTTTTCTGAACAGAGAACTTGAGGAAGTGTGCCATCCCCAGCATCACAGAAAATCCTGCAAATGACTCCTAAAAACACTGGCCACCTGAAAAACTTTGGGTCAGATTTGGATTTGTATGGAAAGCAAACACCTTCTCCAAAGGATCTCTCCTCTTGGATCTCTGCATTAAGGGCACAAGCACCACAAAGCTGGGTGTGGCATTGCCTTAAAAAAATACAGACCAGGAACTGGATTTCTGCCCTGCCAGGCTGTGCAGAGGCAGGTGCCAGCAGAAGTGAGTTTGTCCAGCAGCTCTCTTTGCGCGAGCCAGCAGAGCAGCGCTGCACACGCAGAGCTGGAGCACGTAGAGCGTCACAGGAGAGCCACAGGCACTTGGCACAGGCAGCCTTCCTGTCCAAGGCATCTCTTGCAAGGTACATCTTACAACAGAACTCCTCTGAAGCATCTGACATTCAAATCTCACTACTTCCAGAACCAATTCCCATATGTAGGTGATGGTGATTGCTGCCCTCTCTATCTGCGCAGCAGCCGTGGTGTACTGATCATGTGGTGGCACTGACCAAACCGCAGAGGAAAGCACGCTCAAGAATGGGAGTTTGAGCAGAACTGTGATCCGAATCAATTAAAAATCTTGCCTACGTACCTTAGCTCTTGTTACCTTACCTAGCACGGTAATCATAAGAAGGAGGTGCCAAATCCCTCAGGAGGACAAGATCAATGTGTCAGAAGATGCCAGAGTATCTCCAGGGGGTAAAAACAAAAAGAATGCCCCCACTAAAGCAGCCTTATTCATAGCTTAGCTGCCCTCTGAGCAAGGCACAAATCTGCTGTGCATTGCTTGTTAAAAGAGATGTGTGGTGCACACCTAGGGCCACATCAACCACTGCAGGTGCAGCAAATGCAAATCAGAGCACGTGTACAAGTGTGACATTCAGTAGGGTTGGTTCAGCTCCTTCCTCTGAACTAAAGTACACAGCCCTCACCTCAGCTTAGGGCAGGAAAAGAAGTAAGAGAAGGCAAACATATTCTAACTCAGCAGGGAGGGGGAGAATCAACTGGAAATGCAATAATGAGTGTGGAACTAGATATTAGCTACAGTTTGTTCTTTTTCTTACTAACTCTGAGGATAATCAGAGTTATTAGATTTGAGATAAGAGGTGAGACATCACAACAATATACACTAGTCCTGCTTGTGTTCACCTGTTTTAGAAAATATAGGGCCACCCCTTTGGAACAATTTTTATAAAACTGCAGACTTCTAAAAAGCTACAGTGAACTGCCACAGGCTTGGGATTCCACAGGAGCACTTACAGACCAGCAGCCTCCAGGGTCAGCACCCAGAAAGCAACTGTTTCCTTCTCCTCCCAGAAATACATACTTAAACAGGACAGTTTTCAGAACAGGTTTACTTTTCTTCTCCACAGATCCCAAGGGGGAGTTTATACTATTCTTTTTCCTTTTCATCACAAATACAGATACAAGACAATTATGTATGTGATCTTTCAGGACATTTATTTTGTACACAAATAACATTTTAAAAGCTGAACAAAATTGAGTATTTTTAGCATTTCCCTGAAGCTACTATCTTCTAAATTAACATGAAAGCATGGGTATTCTACTCCACTACTTAACAGTTCACGTAGAGTAAATTGAGGGCCTTGGAATAACAAGCTTTTTCTGCCACAAAACACTTCCCTTGAAAAGCTTCCATAGTATGAACAGGCTTTGCTGTTTTATATTCAAGGACCAGACCTTCTCCCATTTCAGTTTTAATTAGTTTGGTATTGACCACTTTACCAGCATTGCTAAAATGAGTACTGAGCCTTATTACAGCTTCAGAGGGAAGGTTAGGAACTACGGCCTGCAGGTCTGTTGTCGACTCCTGGCCGAAGTTGAGCACCATCATGAAGACTCTGTCTAACCCATCCAGCTCCCTCACGTACACAAACACGTTGCTGTCATTCCAGATGAGGCACATCCAGCCTCGATTCATGGGGAGCTCACTGTTCCGCAGCAAAGTCAGCGCTCTGTACACACCCAGGGTTGAGTTGGACCAGGTGCTCTGGGCCTGCAACAGTCAGCACCAACAGGGTCAGTTCTTGGCACCGCAGGCAGGAAATACAGCTCCCTTCTCACACCCGCTCAGGCTGCTGAGAACGCGCCTATCGCAATTCCGTGCGCACAATTATCCCTCTTCAAATCCGTCTGCAAATTTCACCAAAAATCTGCTTTTCCTCGTGCGCTTCCTTGGCACGTGTGGAGTGGCAGACACAGAGTTTATTAAGCATAACATTTCCCCAGCACTAATGCAATTGCTTCTTCCCACAGCTTCCTTTCAGTACTGTTGATTCAGGAGAAAGCCACAGCCATTCAAAGCTTGACACTGAATCTTTTTCATTGAGTCCAGTCTACTGCACTCACAGGGTTTATTTCACGCTTTATATTTCTGCTATCTTAGGGTTTTTTTCTGCCTTCAATTTTGGTCAGCACTGTAGGTCAGCAAAATCTGTTTGATTCACTGCTCTACTTATGTTAGAGTTGGTCTATGTCAAGTTCTTGTTACAAAACCAGTTCTTTCTATAGCAATAGAAATGGGGGAAAAAGAGACCAGTTTTCAATTTAATACCAAAAGGATTAAAAGGATGTTAAAGAGCCAAATAGCAATGTCAACATCATAATTGTAGTTACTCTGCTTAAATGAATATAGATGAAGTAGGCTCCTTGTTGTGCAAGGATTTCCTTTTCTAATAAAACTTGTGAGGATTCAGTGCTTTTTTTTTTTCCCCTTGAGTTTGTTCCTGCTACCAATGCTCACTACTAAAAGGAAGCCAGAGCAAAATAGATACATTAAAATATGTTTAGACCTTTGAGACCATTAGTTTGTCACGCATGTAGATACCTACTTCCACATTTACACTTTGGTAGTCAGAGTTAACAGGTAACCAGCTGCTGTTGCCTTCAGTAAAACCAGCATTAACTTTTCCATCCCACTGCATGGGAGATTTCTCTGGGAGGGTTGCCTAGAAAATAAAAGTGGTGATTAGCATATTAAAAATTATTCTTTGAATAGCATGTTCTCACATCTCCCAAATTATCTCCCTTTCAGTATTGCTTTCTTTGGTTTAAGTTAAAAATAATGAGGATGTAATTGTGGTCCAAATCTAAGGAGAAAATGAGAATCAAGACAGTTCCTGAAATGGAGGGAAGGGATCAACTCAGATACAGCATTGCTGGGTAAAACGTGGAATTCCCAAATGACTCTTACTAGAGTTGTCATCCTCTGCAACAGATGGTTGGATAAAAGTTTACTGATGACAGCCAGGATATTCTGATAAATATCTAGGCATGCAGAGAGCGAATATGTGAGGTAATGAGTCCTTAGAAGAGATGTCATTAAAGTAACAGTAAACAAGAAGTAATTGTTGTTCAGTATAGCACTTTTCACCCCAGAACTCTTCAAGCTTACATTTGCAAGGGGTACAATTTTGACAGGACTGTTTGTGTTAGAAAGGTAAAATTATTATTTCCAAGTGCAAAACTATTGAAAACTGGCTTTTAGCTGATTAAAAATGTCGATGTAAAAAATGTCTGAAGTTCTCATTTTAAAGAATTCAGAAAAATTCTGAAAAAGCTTCCTCATTGTTACTGAAGAGCTGCCAAAAGATCTGACACTTAAATTTAATGATATAAGAGGGCATAAAATATTTTGCACATACTTTGAGTGTTTGTTTTCCATGAAAACTGTTTTTCATATAAAGGACACTTTTCAATACAATCTGTCAGAACAGCAGCCTAACAAAAGAAATTGTCACTTTGCTTTGTGACATTATAAATAATGGGTTTCTCCTTTTTAGCATATTCTGAAAAGCAGGGAAAAAAATCCTAAGTTTTCAACACTGGTAACGCTGCGTCTCATCTTTACCTCTTTCAGTGTCTCCTGAAGTGTTTGAAATGCTGGGACTAAAGCCTATATCATCCTGAGCAAATACTCTCCCATTTTCCTAAGATGCCCATTAATCAGGGAGCCTTCCTCTCCAGCCTGAGTGAAGGGTGGGTTTGCATTTGTTCCAAAGCCCTGAGCCACAGGGTAGCCACTAAAAGAGAGTGAACCCTGAGGAGCTCAGGGTGAGCCACTTTCCTTAAGAGAATCACTCTGTCAGCAGTAATCAGCAGCAGCAAGAAAATGCAGGAGATACTTTGACCTAGGGTTTTCTCAGAGGAAATGAGATTTCCTTTTAAATCAGGGAATCATTCCCCCATATCTGAATCAGACAAGTCTGATTCATCTGGAGATGATCCTGTGCTTTAAGTACCTCTTTCCCTTTGACAGAAAGCGAGCCAATGCCATTTCTAACATCACCAGCAGCTGCCTCATTCCCTAACACAGGCTTTCCACAGGAAAAGCAGCATCTGCCATAGGACCATGATCTTACAGTGCTGAAATACGGTCAGGAGAGGCAGAGATGAGCTGTTCCCTTTTGGGACAGACTATGCATGATGACCAAAAGCCACTTCTGCTTGCCACTAGGCAGCCTCCCCTTCTTGCAGGTCCCTTTTTCTGAGCTTGGGCACATTTATGACAGCCATGGCTTGGACAGATTCAGAACCGTGATTTCCTTTAAATAACAGCCAGGAAATAAAGGGCTCTGGCATCATGATGAGGGCACTTCCATGCGAGAAAGGAGACGGCTCAGTCATCTTCCCTCATATGTCTGCAGCACACCTCTCCTAAGCCCTGGCCAGGCCCAGTGCTGGCACTTGCTGTCCTTTGTGCTGAAGCAACCCTGCTGGAAACCATGCAAGACTGATCCGGAGAAAGACAGAAATCAGCATCCATAACTGAAGTCTACCGGTTCAGACACACATCAGGGGCTTGGCTCTGGTCTCTAGCCTGGCCATTTCCACAAGCTGTACAGAGGTTTGCCATGAGGAACACGGAAAACCATTTAAGGAGTGAGAAAGACTGGGTTTGGTTAGCAAAACAAAAGTTCTTGCGTTTTTGAATGTTCTGTTACTTGGAACTAAACAAGAACAGGACCATTGTCTACATGCTCTTCACTTACATTTTCTGATGCAATGTTCTCCATGCCTATTTCTTCACCGTAGTAAGTTACAGGAGTGCCAGGGAGGGTTAAAAGCAGCATGTTCATGACATTGATGTACTCCTTCCCAATCCGAGTTGAAATCCGAGCAGCGTTAGGGCTTCCAACCTGAAGAAAACACCATTCTGTTAAACACACGTTATAAAATTTCATGCATATGTGAAATTGATTAACTAATTTTACAAGGTAGTAAATGTTTTTGGTTTTTTTCTTTCCCTTCCAGGCCTGTGAGGTCCATTATCTTTATCTTGATGCCATTACAAATTTCTGTCCCAAAAAATTGAATACACAGAAGTCCTGCCAGCAGCACATGAGGCAGAAGTAAGGAAGAGATGACAAATAACAACTGTCCCTGCTTACAGCTCTCTGCCCTGTGAGGACTGCTCTGCTTGCTTTGAAAAGATTCTTTGCACATTCCAAACATGCTTCCTAGGAAAAAGAGAAGCAATGTTTTAAGTTAACTGCTCTCCACTGCCTGCTCTTCTCTGCCCTGGCCCCGGGCGGGTTCGAGAATCCATTGCAGTGAATCAGTTTATGGTCAAAGATAATTATCCCAGTTCCATTCTCACTGGTGGTTTAGCCATTGGAGACACTGAGGGAGAGGCATGATCATAAATTCCCTTCTGTCATCCTTGCAAGGGGAGTGGAACTTTTACTGAAGGGCAGGAGAGCCGGACAGTGCTAAGGATTCCAACTACAGCAGCTCTGAGTTTTCACAAGGACAGGGACTGTAGCTCAGCAGCCCAGTCTGCTGCTGATCCCACTGAAATCAGTGTGTGTGTGTGGCTTCTGTCACCTACAGGAACAAGCCTTTCCTATGAGAGTTGGTCTAGAATTCTTACTGCCCAGTTTGGCCATTTTCCTGCAGGCATGTTTTTCATCCATGAGTTGACAGCTTCAAAAATACTGTTGCCTGATAGATATTTCATGTTAATTAGGTTGAAATTGAAGGGAAAATCTGCTTCTTGGATAAAAGTCGTTCCATAATACATCATTGTGGCTTCAATATCTTCCTTTTCATCATCATCAGAACCCATAAATCTACAAAGAAGTATACAAACAGCTTTTTTGGTTCATTTTTGGTTACACAGAACAGAAATAAAGCTAGAAATGGTTGGACACAGAGCATTAAGAATTATGGTCACTTCCCCCTCCCCATCAAAAGAAGATTACTACAGAGAAACAATACTTTGTAAAGCAGACAAGGAATCAAGGAGAAGTACTTCTTGGAAATTGCTGGAGGAAAATCTACAAGAGTCAAAACAAGGCTAAAGTATCTCACTGAGGTTTTATCTTTCTGTATCTATGTCCACATGCCCCATTCCAGCAATTTCCATGCTTTCCTTCACAGAAGAGGACCTGTGGGTCCCTCAAGCTGACCATGAGCCATCAATGTGCCCTTGCAGGCAGCTCATGGCATCCTGGACTGCATTAGGAGGAGTGCTGCCACAAGTGAGGGCGGTAATC